CTCGGATTTCAGAAATCCGAGTACTACTATTTATTTAAGGAGTCCAGGTCCTGGACTCCTCCTTATTTGAGTTCAAATATTTCGGGCCTCCATTTAATATTTTTTAATGGGACTCGGATTACGCAAATCCGAACGGCACTGTTCATGTAAGATTTTTTAAAAATTATTATTCAACAAAATTTATTTAATTATTATTTTATTATTAAATGTAGATTCGGATTTCCGAAATCCGAATGTTTAATTTTAGTTATAACTCGGATTTCAGAAATCCGTGGGATATATTCATGTCCACAAATATTCTGAAAAATTTAAATTTGTCCACTTTTATTTTAATTAAATTTTTTAGGGAAAAGACCCCTCGAGCTTATCCCTAAACGAGCTAAGCTCGAGTCTAATAAATAGAGCTCAAACTCAAGCTCGAGCTCGTCCGAGCCATAAAATTTAGGCTCGATCTCAGCTCAGTCGATTTGTAGTGAACTCGAGCTCGACTCGAAAAGCTCGAATTGAGTCAAAATCGAGCCAACTCGAATTCGAGCTCGAGTAAACTAAATTTTTAGGTTCAATTCAAATTTTGTTTCCACATGCAATACAATGCAAACTTCCAGCAATAAAAATTGACTTCCAGAAATATAAACTAATAAAATAGGCATTTAGATTATATACGAATAGCTTCCATTATAGATTACTTACTATCACTTTTAACCAATGTGATAGTAAACAAAAGAATGTGGGTACTTCATGTCGTGATAAGAATGATTCTCATGATTTCATTCTTGCTAAGACATCAAATACACCAACACTACTACTAAATCGGTGACTACACAAAAGAATGTGGTTACGTCATGTCTTGATAAGAATGATTCTCATGATTTGCATTCTTTCTAAGACATCAAATTCACCAACACTACTACTAAATCAATGACTATACAAAAGAGTGTGGTTACTTCATGCATTGAAAAGAATGATTTTCATGATCATTCTTTCTCGACATCAAAACCAACACTGCTAATAGAGTATTGACCACTATATACTAGTTATTACTAAAACAAAACAATGGTCATGAGCTTCCTTTTGCCTAACACTATTTGGTGGACATAAAGCTTTAAAGTTGTTAAAAAACCAGCATTACTGGTGATCATGAAACTTCAAAAACTTGGTGATCATAAAATCTTCATTCTGCCCAAAAAATGAACTTCAAAAGGAATTTGGCCAACCAAAAACAACTATCACTCCATGACCACAATAGATTAATCCACCCATCATGATTTGTCACCTGCATTCAGAATTTCTAAATGTAGTTCATTTATAGTTTAGTAAGAGATTGAGCAAAGACCATTTTCAAAATTAAAACTAACAAGCATGTATATTTAACTTACCAGGAACTTTGATAAAGATTTCTTCATATGTTTTGCCTTTCTACAATGAGAAAAATAAATAAAATAAGTGGCAAGTTATATCTTTAAGAAATAATGTAATTTACAAATTGGAAAATATTGACTGAAAGCTAAACTTACTTTGTTCTTCTTTTTCACACCATGTAGATGTCGAAGCCAATCTTCTCCAAATAGGAGAGTTTGTACGGTACTTGGGGATAGAGATGAATGATAAGAATCAATTACCCTTGTGCCCGCACTAAATGTTTCTTCAAAAGCCACTGAGCTAATCGGGACGGTTAAAATATCAGCTGCCATTCTTGACAAAATAGGGTAATGCATCCGATTCATCTTCCACCAATCCAAACAGGAAAAGTCCGAGGCAATCTCATTTTTCTTGAGTCGACTTTTTTCCAAGTATTTTGTCAATTCAGACTTCATAGGCCCTATTGTCTCAATTTTATCACAAAATGAATCAAATCATCCCAGTTACGTGCAAAATTTGATTGGCCCTCATTTGTCCCCAAAGAATTACAGACATCAATGAACAAGAGAATTTTTTAGAACTTTCAGCCACGTACTCCAAATAAAGACTTTTGAGTTTCGCCTCAACATTTTCTATTTTCTTTTTTATTTTCTCCTCCTCCTCTCCACAAAATAGCTTTGGAAAACAAAAATTAACTACCAGCATCATTTGGGTGGGATCAAGTACTGCAGCAATAGACATCAATAGATTACACTCACCCCAATATTTATCAAACTTTAGCTTCATCTTCCAAGCCAAAGCCCTAATGAAATCATCTGGATGATCAGTAGTACTATCCAATGATGATTTTATCTTATGAATTCCTGGAGATAAAGATTTGAAGTAGGATATTCTGAACCAGAAACAATCTTTGTGGCTATCCAAAAAGGTTCCAAAATTGAACAATTTTTTTCAACTTTAACCCAATCTTCCTCTTGTGGACAACAATCACAATGCCCATTTTCACGAGCTGCGAACATTTTAAAAGCTTCCTTGAACTTCAGTGCGCAACTCAACATCTCAAAAGTTGAATTCCGTCGCGTTTTACAATCACGGAGTAACCTCCTATCTTTCAATTGTAGTAGTTGAACACAAACAGTAAATTTGTCACGCCTATTCTCGGAACGGTTCACATATTCTACAATTTCTCACACTACCAGAACAATATCTTTGATTTCATCCAATCCGTCACCAACACACAAATTTAGCACATGCGCACAACAACGGACATGAAACAAATCTCCTCCACATAACAATTTTCTTGACCTTTGAATTATCTGTTTCAATTCTTTGATAGCCGAATCATTGTTTGATGCATTATCAAGAGTCACCGAATATACCTTGTTCTCAATACCCCATTCTTTCATGCAAGTAAAAATGGCGTCAGAAAGTTCAATACATGTTCTTGGTGGTGGAATGTGGAAAAAGTTCAAGACTCTCTTTTGTAACTTCCAAGAATTGACAATCCAATGCCCAGTAACAACCATATATTCAATATTTTGATTCTTTGATTTCTAACAATCGGTTGTCAAACTAATCTTGCTAACACCTTGAAGAGTCTTTTTCAACTTCTTTTTCTCAATCTCATAAACTTGCACACAATCTTCCTTGCATTTAATTCTACTTATATTTCTCTATTCCGGCATCAATCTTTTCATCATGAAATTGAATCCTTCTTCTTCCACAATGGTAAATGGATGTTCATGCATCATAACCCAATGGGCAACTAATTCCTTCATTTGTTCCATGTTAACGATTCCAGAATACAAAGGTGGAATTGCATGTGAACCTTCTCCTGTCGGCATAAAATTCACCTTTGATTGTCTTGCAACTTCTTGCAAATGTATCTTTCTCCTCACACAAATACCACTATGCCTCTTCAAGCCTGTCGTAGTTCCGGTTTTACCCAATTTTAAGGTTACAGGGCAATACAAACATTTGGCCTTACTAACTCCATCCTCTTTGAGTTGTTGAAAGTCTTTCCAAACTGTTGATGTTTTCCTCCTCTTGTTTGTTTGGAATTTCTCATTCACTGGAATAATTTCTTGTGCTTCAACACTATCTGCACCACCAGTTGCTCCACCAGTTGCATCACCAGTTGCACCACCAACTACACCACCATTTGCCTCATTTGTCTCCATCATTTAGGAACTACAGTACATGGAATAGAATTATTTTCAGAGCATATTATGGTTCAATTTTCTACTTCTCTAAAGAAAGAATATGTAAAATTATTAACCCATATCAAAACAATAGTATCAAAACTGAAGTAACGACAAATTTATGAAAACATTGGCTTTCTGGTAGTACATGATAAGCAAAAATCAATTAAGGGAAAGAGCCCCCAAAAAAGGTTAAAGAATAAGCAAAGCAATGACCATATATCCTTGTAAGATTTCACAAAAACGCATACTTTTTATGTGGCAATTTTTAAACCATGTGAATCGTTCTAATATCTTAACAAAAAGGCACACGTAAATGGCTTCAAAGTGGGATACTATTAAACTAAATATAATAAGCATATCTCTTTTTCAACTCTCAAACTATCTTCAAGGAAAACTAAATAAACAAACTCTCAAAACCTTTCTCCCTCAATTCGGCAGAACCAAAACCAGCCCCATGTCCCTTTTCATCCACTTTATTTTCTTCAACAAACTCAAACCTCAATAAAGTACACTCTTTTATGAGGAACGTAGTGGTCGAAAAAATGAGAATCTATCTATTAAAACAACAAAGGAGGTAATGGAATTAACAATCCATTTGCCAAAACTTTCCAGCGAAATATATTTGAATTCAATAAATCTAGGTTAGAAAATTCAGAATTAATTGAAAAAAGCCACTTCATAGTTCATGGAATGTAATCCCAGACAAAATGAAAAAAAAAAAAAGAAGAACCCACACAGTATAATCAAGATTATAGAAAAAGAGAGTACCTGAAGTATACCAAAAAGAGATACAATTGAGGTGAAAAGGGAGAACAAAATACACCGCTAGAGAGAACAAAGTGACTAGGGTTTTTTTAACTTAGATCCTAGAGCTACTAATCTGGCCTGAAATTCGATGATGGTAGTATGAGATGCATGTTATTCAAAGATTAGAAAAGAAATTACAATAATTTTGGTGAGAATTTGAGAGTTGGATTTTCAACCGCTGAGGAGAGAAAGAAAGACGGGAGAACTGAGAAGATAAAAATTTGTGAATTATAGATATAGAAGGATAAGGCAAGATTCATCGAGTGGTAATAAGTAATAACCACTTTTGGTAAGAAAAAATAATAATATCAAGTACAATAGCTGATGTTTAGTATGTTAATAAAAAAATATTAATAAAAGAAAATATATATATATATATAGATATATAATATACTGAAGCTCGTTAAGCTCGACGAGCTACCGAGCGGTCATCATCATGGTTCGAACTTGGTTCGATTAATTATCGAGCTCGGCTCGAATTCGGTCAACTCGATCTCGAATCGAGCTTTGACCGAGCCAGCTCGCGAGCGGCTCGGTTCGTTTACACCTTTAGTTGAGATGGCTCCTTGGCAGAAGATATATAAAATGGAAAGAAAAAAAAAAGACTAAATTAAATAAAGCCTTTGATAGGGCTAATATTGGGACATTTTAGTGGCACCCAATAAAAGACTTATCAAAACCATTTGGTATTGGGTCCGGAATTAGACATGGACAGAATCCCTGGAATGAATCAGCTGTGACTTGAACTTGGAGGATTTATTTTGCTTACAGACTTGGGAGATTTCAATTGCAACTGAAGGCAAATTATGCCTTCGTAAGAGGCTCTTTTTAAACGATGAAATATATTTGTTCACCTTTTCCGATGGTTGCCTTATTGCATGGGGAAATGGTTCCGACTCCCGAATCCAATGATTCTGCAAACTGGCGCGCTTTTGGACTTGCGAGATGACTTCGCTGACAAATTACGGGTCAGGTAACTGTTTGATTAAATTACCAAGAGAAAGTGAGGATTTGATCAAATTCTTGCCTGCAGTTTATTTAGTGTTGATGCTATACTGTGGTGTTTACATAATTATTATACCTTTTCTAATTATTCAGCGCATGTGCCGTTTCACGCGAGTCATGCCAAACCAGTCATCTTTTGATTTTTTTAAAAAAAAATTTTAGCACGAAAGGTAAGGAAGAGCCATGAGGAGGAAGCTCTTTGGTTATTTTCTTAAGCATTTTATCTGAAAATCTGTCGGACTGAACAAGTGGATTTTTTGGTCGGCATCTAATTGCATAAATTCTTTTATGTTTTTGGAAGCAGGCGTTGACTTAAATCCAGAGGAAGCACACTTCTAATTTCCATCTATAGTTCCATCTTTGGACAACGGAACATCACAGAAGATGAGGGTTGTATTTGTTTTGCTAGTATGCACTCAGTTTCTAATAACTGAGGTCCTCTTTTTGTCTGTTTCATCCACAAATGATGCGTATCCAACTGGATATGGTGATGAGTCTGGTGCTTGTATGAGTAGCAGGGATGTTTTGAAGCCTTTGAAGAGAGAAATATATTACGAAGGTGGAGAAATAATAGATATCACCCACAAGTTAACTCCAAACACACCTGGGGGAATTATTGAGGGTTGGGGTGAATATCTTAGTCTCGTGAAGAGCATGAAGAACGGGTCTGATTCGAATATCTCCGAGATGAAATTAAATGTTCATGTTGGCACTCATGTTGATACTCCAGGATATATTTATGATCACTATTATGATGCTGGATTTGATGTAGACAGCCTAGACCTCAGAGTTCTAAACGGTAAGGTGTTTTGGCCCTGCGAAGGCTGGTTTTAGTGTATCTTACAGTTTCCTTTTATGTTCAAATCTGTAATCATTTTTCCACTTTGGCTTCTTCGTATGTTGCTAGTGCTTACTCGAGTAGTTCCATAATTTTTAGCTTGTGTAATCATTTGCAATTGAGACGAAGGAATTTGACTGGCTAGATTTATCCAAATATTTACACTTCAATCACTTTTTTTATTTGCAGGCCCGGCTTTGGTAGTTGATATTCCTAGGGATAAGAACATAACAGGTATCCTTAACCCAGTCAAAATCCACGACTGACTCTAGTTTGTACGGTGACAATTATAGGAAATGAGGTCCTGCATCATTGAGGATAATTGTTATCTGCATATCTTTTATGCACTTCATTTGAGTTATTCCCTGGGTGGATCCTGTATGGGAGTAGCAACTATTGGATGGCAAAGTTCCCATGCTAATTTTATTGCTCGTGTTTCTCTATTAGAAATGAGTAGCTTTCATCAAAGAGAAGAAGTATCTTTAGAATGTGTCTATCTTAGTGCCTATAATTTGAGATTAACTGCAAATGATATAGTTGAGCCGTATGCTGATTCTTTTGGTTTTGGTATTCTGGCCTGAGTTACGTACACACTAAGTTCTAATTTTGTTTTCTTTTCTCTCTTTCCAGCTGAAGTGATGAAGACCTTAAACATCCCCAAAGGAATAAGACAGTACTCTTCAGAACGTTAAACACTGACAGGTGACTTAGTGATCCACTTGGTTTAGTATGTGCAGCCAATCCAACCGAACCAAGAATGATGTGGGTTATGCAGAAAATTTTTCGTACAGCCTTCCGTGGTTTTGGCCAATGTTAGTTTAAGATTTTCGCATACTTAACAACCGATGTGGACATCAAATTCAACTAGATGCATGAGAATGACCTTCAAGTTTACAAATTTGCTAGTGTTTGATGCTTAAAAGGATTCAGATTTTTCTGTTCTTTTTACTTGGCTTCCAATCAATGTTTTGCTTGTTTCACAACTAGAATATGTGCAGTAGAAAGAAGCTGAAATTTCCATGTCCATCATCTACTGATCTAAAAATACAATGTGAATTCAGAGAGCTGTATTTGCATAACTGGAAGAAAGTGGCAATGAGATGCAAGTTGACAGTGATCCTGCTGAAATTCAATTGAACCTTTGCTTATTTCATTTTCAGGCGCCTCATGTATACGAGACAGATTGATTTAAGCTATGTGGGATTCACAGAGGATGGAGCACAGTGGGTTGTGGATAACACTGATATTAAACTTGTTGGTAAGCACTTATCCAAGTGGGGTTTGAGTGTAAGTATTAAGTTGTGTGATTTTAATTTCTTCATCAGTAAAACAAGGAACTGGAGCACTTTTTAGTTCATATCGTTATCAATGTTATTTTTGTCCAAGTTGTAAACTTTGCGTCATATGTTAAACAACCAGAATACATTAAAATGGGAACAGAAAAAAGTGAATACATATAGGGCTTATAGGTCTTCTCTGAGAATTCAACCTCAATTGAATTGTTCTTAGTAATTTTTACTTTATTTATAAGTTTTACTACCTATTGTGAGGATCGCCAAATCCGACCCTCCTCACCGTCAAGTTTAATTAGATCATTAATCTAAATTTGTTTATATGAACATTACTATACTGCATAGATTATAAATCTAAACTTTAAAATTCTAACTAAGTCCTAAGCTTAGTCTAGGAATCATTAACCAACATCTTTAAATAATAATAACTAATGTAATAAAACTATTAGCAAATCTAGTTTTGCCCAACTCCCCGTAATTGCCTACCTTAAGGCCTAATCCTAAATCCTATTGCAAAACCCATGTCTGCAAAAATGCATTTCATGACCATTTTTATTTAATTTGGCAAAGAAAAAAAAAAAAGAAGTTCAGCCACATGGTTTTTGTTTTATATGGCTCCATAAGCCCCGAGTTCATTTGTCCTCCACAATCTGATTTAATAAAATTTGCAGCCAAGCCCATGAACTCATTTTGTCCTCCTAATTCGAACAACCATAGCAGTAGGCAAGAGCAAGGTTATCACCGCCATTTTTGTTTCTAAATTACAAGCGAAGCACCTGGTTTTACTTTCCCCTTACCCATGAAATATCACACCGTCCTTATCTTTTTCCCAACATCATTTTCTTCTCCTCTTACCTTTACTGACCCCTTCCCCTTCCGTCTTCATCACCGCCGATCTTCAATTTCCATCACCATCTCTTACCTCATCCATCCTTGCTTTCGATTGAAACCAGTCGAATTTATCAACTTAATTCTTCCTCTAATTAAATCTACTTCCCCAAGAAACTTGTATGAAGTAAAGGGTTGGCTGTGTTGGATTCGGTGAAGGGACAGACATGGAATTGAAGGTAGAAGGCTTTGAGGATTCAGCATCGCCGCCAATCGGTCATCGAAGAGCTAGCTTTAAATTCAATCGGGAATGACAAATGAAGCTGAAACTCTGTGACCAAAAAGAAGAAGTGAGAAGATAAAAGAGATAAGGTAACTAGAGATTCAATTATCGATTCATTAAGGTTTGAATTCTAATTTCCCCAATTCAGTTTGGGCTTTATATTAGCTCAATCTTCTTAGCAATTGGGAGGTATGGCTGGTTTGTAGGTTCTGTTCCTTTGTTATGCTTGCTCTTGATTTGGTTTTGGTGGTTGTTGCCGTCGTTGTTCTATCAACAGGAGAGAGAGCAAGAAAGGGAGTGGAATTGTTGTTAATCCCTTCGTTAGTATTTGTTACTGTCTTGATGTTATCTAGTGAAGGGTTCAACTCATTTAGGAACATGCTAATCTTTTGGGTTCTGGAATTAGTAAAATGTTTACAGTAGTGTCATGAACTTAGCTAAGCTGCTGATGTCGAAGTGAGTTGCTAACAGTTGTGCCTGGGTGTTGCCGGTTTTGTGAACTTTAACTCTTAATTCCTAAAGAAGAATAAAAGTGATTGTTTAACACTTTGACATTAATTAGAATCTGGGATTTTGGTTCGGCAACTAGGCGGTATCTAGTGAGTGATTCTTGATTAAATATAGTAGTAGCAAACACAAGGACAATAGGTTCTAAGCTGCCAAGTACTAAATACAAATCCAGAAGTATCATCTTTCGCAAAAGAAATTCTTTAATTATGTAAGTCCATAAAGACCGTTGGTTAATTATGCAAATTATTGCGGGGCTTCCTAGAACAAGATTCCTTAATGACTCTACTGCTTGTCTTGTGGTTAAGGTGAGTAATCTCCCTGTCTAATTAATTTCATCTAAACTTGTTAGGTTAACAATCTGGAACTAGGAATGTATATATTTATTGTCTTGATACCTCCTGCCAGTTATGTGATATTGTATGATCTGCTTGTCCCGTGTGTGTACCTTATCACATCGGGTAATTGACTAGCTGGGATATTCTTAACTCTAGCTTAATTAATTGCTTGGTTGTCCTGTTTTACGGGAATTATACGTGATGATCGTTCGTTCTTTGCTCCCTGTTTGTTTATATATATATATATATATATATATATATATATATATATATTTTTTTTTTTTCTTGAGGCCATGTGTACTTTATCACATGTACCTCTGTACGTGAAATATTCAGTTACTGTAATCGTGCCATTCCGGCTTGTGCATGTTATTGTACTGGTTAGTCATGGATCCATGTCCCTGCTAGTTGAGTCGACTCCGAACGTGTCGGCGAAGGGCCAGGACGTACCGGATAGACCGCTAGAAGGTCCTGTTTAGGTATAATCTCGAGATAATACCGCCTACTGTTACTGTTATTGTTGGGTGTGGTTGACGAGAAGTGCATAGCGCTGTGCCATTATTCGTACTGTACTCTTTATCGTTGAGTTCGACTAGACATACAATCCTCTGGCCACATAGGCTTGGATCAGACTCTTGTTTGACCTTACCCGTATCCACTCCCAGAATGTGCTTTTACCTTCTTTATGTGCCAGGGCTTGTGGAAAGCCTTGTGTGTGGTTACCTGATCTATGTTTTTTTCTCTATAGTAGTCATTTAGCATAATCTTAAATGTTTGATATCATATCTGGCAATGTAGAATCTTCTAATCCTGTCGTGCATAATGTATGATAACTTGTTTGACTATGTGGTCATCTAGATTAATTGTTGGTAGACGGTAAGACCTCACTGAGCATACGCTCACCAAACGTATACCTTTTTATACTCCAGGAGTAGAAATGCTGGATTACTTTGTTGACACGCTTCAGAAAGCCTAGCATTCATGAAGATGATCGGGTTTAGTTGTATTTTAGTTCTGCAGACTTTTGTTAGTTACAAAAACGGAGAACGTTGTTCTTCAATATGTTGTAAAATATACATGTAATAAATCCTATACAAAATATCAGTTATAACTTTTGACTTAGCAAGGTCTTAAGTTATTACTCCTGATTACCTATGGACTGTTTTACCGAGACCTAGTGAGAGCTAGGCGGGCGTTTTGACTATGATTCTTTCGCTATAAGCAGGGGAGTCTAGTTGGGGCGTTACACCTATTCTTTAGTTTGCTGATGATCATATAACCAGACTCATTTCTGTTTTCATGCGACAAATTTTCTTAAGCAACCGGAAGACACGGTTGTGAAGAAAAGAAAAAAAACTTCAAAAGCTAGGGTACTAATGATGTAAGTAAGTCCTTTTTGATCTTCGTTAACGAATACAAGGTTGACCCTGAACATTGTTGTCGTACTTGTACGAATTGATTACATATCCATCGCTGCATTTGATAGTCTACTCCCTGCTCACCAGATTTTCCTTAAAAACGCTGTAATGATCTCCGCTTCGTTTACAAATTTCTATACTTTTGTCTTTGTGTCTGCCAAGGACTAAGCTTCTTTCATTGTGTTATACGTACAAATCCATTTGGATGATTTCCCTTCAAAATGGTAGCACGCTAGCATTGTGGGCTCTAGAAATCTTCATGTACTTTTGCTAATAGCTTTGGAATTGGTTTAGGACATCATTTTAGTGGAAGGATTGAAACTGGACGATGTTCAGCCAGGAATCTATACTGTACATTGTTTGCCTCCAAGGATGGTTGGGGCTGAGGGATCGCCTATTCGATGCATCCTCATCAACTGATGATGTTGGTTCGCCATGGAATGTTTGAACAGCACTGGTAACTGGCCTCTCTGCCGTAATATTAGATACACATCAAATTTACATGGTGAAAGCTAGAAGGCGGCATTGTTTACCTTCACTCACTTTTGCAAATGCAATATCTCTTCACAGGAAGGGCAGCCTCCGGGGGTTGTCACGTCAGTTTCAAAGGGATCAGTCATTAGTTTGGGAAAGAAACATGCTTAATATGTGTATGTGAAAGAGTACTACTATATCACGGATAAGGAGTATACATGAGGAGTGGGTCTTCTTTCTTTTTCCATTTCCGGTCTGAATATATATTATTACAGCCAATTTAGTTTGGTAAGCCATTACTCTCTTATCTTGTTATTAAGTTTGGACTGCAAATGGGCAAACAAGTACGGTAACAGTACTCAAAAATCCACGCGGTCTCAATTATAAGGCATCCCAATGCCTATTGCTTTTGGATGTCTGAAAAGAGATGTACTCATATGATCTTTGGAATTTGAGTGTCTGAAAATACACAATCCACTGCTTAAATTAAACTTAAAACGTTTTCTTCTGGATTAAGGATCGCAACTAAGATACTTTATGTTCCATTAAGCATTCTCTTGAACATCGATATCTGAATAAGAAGAATGAACATCTCAGAAGCACTAGATGGAGAAGAAAGATCTCTGGCCACCAACCCACAAGTAGTACAAAAAGAACAAAAAACAAAAAGCACAACTGTAGGAGGGGGAGGGAAAATCATAGCGCATGGGGCTAGCTAGTACTAAAACATTTTGAGAACACAAGCCATGGTATGCTGGTGACATCTTCTACCAATCCACCATACAAACAGCAACTCAATAATTTCACATAGTAAGAGGCAGATGCGCTCATTGGGTTCTTTTTTAAGACAAAAATCAACAAAAATAAAATGTATTCACTTTCACTGGTGCAAATTTAATGCAAAAAACGGAACATGCAAGTTTTGGACAAAAACAGCAACTCTACAAATTCCATTCACGCATGCACACACATACGTACATGTACGAAAGAAGCTATGAAAGAAAAGGAGGCTTTCCTCAGAGTATCCCATTCCCATCCCCTATGAATTTGCATTTTGTTGTGTGATATATTTCATTTCATTGCTTAGATTCACCCCCCTCCCTCCTCTCTCTCTCTCTCTCTCTCTCTCTCTCTATATATATATATATATATATATATATATATATATCTCGTCGAAATGCAAGGCATCATCCATCACCCCTCTCTATCTATATATCTTCTTCTTGATTTTTAATAGTTCGGAAGAATTTCCTTCCAGTCCGATCCAGGGGGACCAAAAACAACAAAAATCAAAAAGAAAAAAAGGTGATGGAGATGAATTCATCATGCAGCATGAAGAGGGCACTGTTGCTGGTTGCTGTTGCTATTGGGTTGTATTTCATGAAGCCAGCCGAAGGCACAAGGACGATAATGATAATCGATATAACTCACACGTATTATAATGTCATCCCTATTTTTAACAATCCAAATGGAAGCAAACCGATAATCCACGATCAAGATAGGGACGGATTCCAAACTGGTTACTATACCGTTGGAACTCACTTTGGCACCCACGTTGATACTCCTCAACACTTGATGAGCTTGATAGATAACCCCATCTCCGTCCCTACTCTTGACCTTCAAACTCTAATTGGTTAGATTCTCTTACTTTTCTTTTTTTTTTTTTTCAAAAATTAATACAATTTGAACTAAAAATGAAAGCCCAAACTGGACAATAATTTTGGAACGGAGGGAGTATTTTTTTTTCATGTGTTTCGTGTTAATAACTTCAGTCCATTTTTTAACATTATTTGTGAGGCCAATTTTCGGGTCCTCTCTGCTTGACCACAAACAATGAAACTAGCACCTAATTGCATGTGATTTTAATTAATAACAAGACACATAAAGGCTGCAAAACCAAACACGTATTATAATAGCTCCTTTCCTAAGCCACACGAGACCCGTCGTCAACCCCCTTTTTCTTTCTGTAAGCATCTGCATTTTCTTATTCATGGCTATCTAATTGATTAAGCCATACAAATTAAGAGGAAGAAGATGTTGACGGAAATAATCGTAGGAGAAGGAGAGATGCTTGAAGGGTTGCATCAATTTTTGCGGCTCGATCAAAGCAGTAGGCATCGGCCCAAAAAAAAAAAAAAAAAGTGTTTAATAGGATGGTGTATTAGCAGCCAAAAGAGGTAAGGATTCTTATATTTGATTGTTAATCTTTAGTTTTGAAATATTCAAAAATTTGGGCTAGTCGGAGAATTGTTATTTAACTAGCTCTTAGTTTCTTAATGGATGGTCGAGACTGTTGGTCATGGTTCTTGAGATAATCTAAATCTTTACTGGATGTTTCCTAGTAGCTTAAATGGAATCAAGATTGGTGGTAATCATTTTGTTTGGAATAAAGGGAAAATTTTCAGATTTGAGTTCCCAACTTTAAGTCTTGGGGTCTTCATAGTCCCGTGGTTATTCTTGCCCAATTCTTATTATTTTCGATCACTGTACATTGAGATTTACTCCTCCTTCGCTGTTTGTCAAAAATGCTTTATGGATCTTCCGAAATTTTGGTTGAAAGAAGACATGCTCATTGACATTTATTTTTTTTTTGGATGTGGAAACCAAATTAGAGACTCTGTTGCCACGCCTATTTCTCATAGAACTCTTTTCTTGGATCTCTTTTCATGAATCCCTTCTCCGTTCAGTGTAGTTTATTCAAATTTTTACGGATTGCAAAACGGATTCGTAGATTGGTAGAAAGCTTAATTTGAACATGACAATCATTTTCGGGAAATCTGTTCTCAGCGTCTGTTTTCAGAGGTTCGTTTCTCATAGCTCTTGAACCCTTTTTCAGGATTTCTTTATTTGAAACTCTTCTTTGTTCAGTGAAGTTTAACTCTGCTTTTGTGGATTTTAAAACCAGTGTATGTTTTGTCCGAAAAGTGAATTCAAACAGGACCAACCTGTTCTGTGTTTTCTTAAAAAAATTTCGTACTGCGTGCTCTGTTCCTGATCGGTTTTCTCCTATTTGATAAGCTCCTTTTTCTGATTTCTTTATGTAAAATCCTTCTTTGTTTGTCCTACTTCACGATGCTTTTGACGGCTGGCAAATCGGACTTTTAATTTGATCAAAAAAGAGTTTTGAATAGGACCTCTTTACCACCACTTTGCTGGAAATTTTTCAGAATTTGGAGACCAACTTTGAGGCTTCGGTTCTCCATGAGCATATACTCATTTCTCAGCATATTTCCAACTCTATCATTAACCGTGTGTGAAAGTATATGCCTTAACTCCAGGACTTCAAATTAACGACAAAATGCATCTAAATAACCTGCCCAAAGAGTCAGATTCTCGAAAACCTATAGTTCCTGAGCTATATAATAAAATAGGGGAATAGAGTACATTTTCGGCAGGGTAAACTATAGGGAGAGTTATGATATTTAATTTTAAAAATTAATGGGATAATAATAAAACGACAGAGAATATAATCTACAACTGAACATTAGGAAGGAATTTTGAGGTATAGAAAATAAGATGGTGCCAGCATCTTAAAGGAAATCATTATTTCCAAATATTTCTATTTAAACCCCGTATTCATATCTCCTTTTACAAACAGCTATTCTTAGCACATGTAATTGTTATTTGTAGGGCTCATCTGATGCTGAATAGTCATTAGGTATGGTCAAATGTGATCTTTGGATGTATCCATAAGTGATTTAGCTAACTGTTTCATTGGTATGCATTAGTTGTATGTGCTTAAATCTAATCTGATTGAACTAAACTTAGGCTATGCTGTGTGGAAGAGATGAAATGTTTAACTCGAAGACCGCAGATTATAATATAAAGTTTGAAAATCCAATTTGTTTTAGTGATCATAAATGCGACTAATTTGTATGTATCATTCTGTTTTGTAGACTTGGCTTTTCTCTCGGGTTTTCTAAATGAAAAGGAATGACTTCGTATAAGTTTGAAATCTTGAGAACTCTAGGTCTAATTAAGAATTTTGTTCTACAGGCATAATGCTCTAGAGTATTGTATATTTTTGCTATTTGGTGAACCGGAATTTGAGCTTTTGTAGTCTGATGAGGTCTGATGGGTGAAAATGTTATCCATGAAATGCTCAAATCATGATTTTCAGTCTAGGAATAAGTCTAAAGAATTTAGGAAAATATGACTGTGGTTGAATCTTGCGATATTTGGTAGCATGGTGTGTTTAGCTGTTAAAAAGAAACTGCTTTAAGAATGTTGTAAACTCCTTTCTATTTATTCATCATGAACTTGGCAGGTTGTAACTTACACTTATTTCTCACCTCGCTGCTAAAATTTCAGAACACATAAATTGACTTTAAAGCTTTTGCCCTTGTCCTGAAACCCCTTTCTTACAAGCTATTTACAAAATGTTTTGCGTTTCTATCCTGCGTGTTTATCAAGGTACTCAATGTAACCTCTACATAGCATTAAACGACCTTTTAACTCACAGCTATTGCATCCAGAGATTAGGAAAAAAATAATAATAACAATAAAAATAAAAATAAAAACAGGTTTTACAGGTGTAATAATGAGAATGATTTCAAAAGTAAATTTTAAAACGTGGTATGTTAAATTATGTGGGAAACAAGTTTCTTGGCATAGCTTTTGTTTAAAGGCAATTCGTTTTTGTAATGCTGTTTCTGATCTTCCATGTGTTTATAGAACTTGAATAGCAAGAGCATGATTATACTCTGTACGTAAAATTAAGCTAATTATGTAGTATATATAATGGAAATGATATGTGGGTGTATATATGCAAAATTAACTCCATCTAAATGAAAGTCGGATAACCATCAATTTTAGTCGGATAACTCCATCTAAATGCGCCGATGGGTTGGATAATCAGTACAAAAAAAATTGGACAATCAATTTCATAAGAAAAAAACAAGAAAAAAAAGTCGGATAACTATCACCAAGAAGTTGGGTAATCAATATGAAAACATTGGACATATATTTTTTTCAAAAAAAAAAAAAAAAAAGAAAAGAGATTCTGTTTGGATAATCAGTGAAAACGATTGGATAACCAATACAAAACGGTTGGTTGGATAGTCAGTACAGAAAAAATGGACAAGGGTTTTCACGAAAAGAGAAGAGGAAAAAAACGGTTGGATAACCAGTACCAAGCAGTTGGATAAACAGTACCAATCAATTGGATAACTAGTGCAAACATGTTAGACAACCATTTTCTCGAGAGAAGAAAAGAAAGAAAAAAACATATTAGACAAGTAACGCAAACTTATTTGGACAGGTAGTAAGAATAATTAGATAACTAATACAAATTGATTGGATAATCACTACGAATACAATGGATAACCGTGTTTCAAAGGAAAAAAGAAATGATTGGACAAGCAGAATAAACAAAATGGATAAACAGTACCAGCGTATTGGACAATGATTTTTTCCGAACAAAAAAAAATAATTGGATAAGGAGCACAAACAATTTGGATAATCATATAAATCTGTTGGATAACTAGTACACATAAGTTGGATAAGCATACAAACCAAATGGATGGATATCTAGTACAAACAAGTTGGATATGCATACAAACCTGTTGGATTACAACTACAAAACAAGTTGGATAGGCATAAAAAAATGGATAAAAAGTACAAACAAAATGGATAATCAGTTCAAACTGGTTGTGTAATAAGCATGAACACAATGAATAACCAATTTAAAATAAGTTGGTAATCCATCTTTTTAAATTGGATATCCATACAAATTTCTTTATTTCTGCCCATCAAAATTTGGTTATTTTTACAACCGGAAAAAATATTCCATGTGGATCTTGTTGGATAGATCTTGACGAATACAATAAAATTCATACATAATTCGTTTATAAATTCTTCGCGGATTGAGAGTTACGTTCGTTTGAAGATTAGAGATGCTTGTTTTGGAAGAGAGAGAAAAAAAATAACAGGGACTAAACTTACAAATTATAGAAAGATTGAGAAAAAAAAATACAATAAGGATTAATAGTGCAAAAAATAAGAAGAGAAGCACATGTTCTCGGGTATATTGGTTAGAGACTCATTATCCATTCAATTGGTTTTGATGAGTCTACTTAATTTGCAACTTGCAAGTACATGTTCAGAAGGTTCATTCATTCGGTTCTTTACTTATTCCCTGTTTGAAGAGTTCAGAAGGTTCATCAGTCTCCCTTTTCTTTTTCCTCTATTTTTCAATTCAGTCAATTTCAACGAAATTAAGATTCATTCATGTTCAATTGGTCTTGAAGTATTCAGAAGGTTCATTTATATTGTTCTTAGTTATCCCCTGCAAAGAGTTATGAAGGTTCATCAATTGAATGTAGTAAATTATGAGTAATAAATTTATAAGAACAAAAAAAATAGTCTAGAAAGAATATTGAGGTCTCTAGCCAGGGAAACATTAACATTAAACAACCAATCAAGATGAAGCTGAGGATGATCTAAGCAAGTCAAATAGATAAATTCTACAAATGTTAGTCCGCTTTTCTTTTTGGGCCTTCATTCAATTGGTTTGATTAGTCAACATGCAAATATTCAGAAGATTTATTCATGGTTACCGGCAAGAGTTCAGAAGGTTCATATCACTCGACTTCTCTTTTTCCTCTAATATTGAATGTAAATTAAGAATAGAATTATTTTTTCCGGTTGTCACATTCCTAAACATCCAAAGAAGTCCCCCAAACTTGTCGAAACATTTATTAGAGGGTTCATTAATGTTATTACTAAAAATTATGACGACAACGTTGATCATATGACCCTATTTGGAGACACTGGGGAAATTTGCACGGTCAAATTAATCAAATTTGATAGTTTGTTGTACTTCACAAAACTCATTTGGTCATCAGAATTGTAAGCATTGTTTATTTATTTACTTCACATTTTAGGCTTGGAAAAATGAAAAGCACCCAACTCGATCAAGATTATTGTTATAGCTAT